GTGGGCTCCTGTCTGTCTCCTGGGTGCAGAGTCAGCCCCACAAACACCCCTCGGCTGTTTCCTGCCTGCAGGTCCAGCGGGCAACGGGGATCGCCAACAACAGGAACGTCCTGGCCACGGCGAGGGACCCCAAGGGCATCCAGCTTGGTGCTTCCCAGCACGTGCGAGGACAGATCAACTTCCTGACCGAGGAGACAGGTCACAGAACCCCAGACTGGTTTGGGTTGGGAGGGACCTTAAAGCTCCTCCAGTCCCAACCCCCCTGCCAGCAGCAGGGACACCTTCCACTAGACCAGGTTGCTCAAAGCCTCATCCAACCTGGCCTTAAACACTTCCAGGGAGGAGCAGCCACAGCTTCTCTGGCCAACCTGGGACACTGGCTCACCACCCTCACAGTGAAGAACTTCTTCCTCATATCTCATCTAAACCTCCCCTCTTTCAGTTTAAACCCATTTCCCCTTGTTTTGTCATTAACTGCCCTTATGAAAAGTCCCTGGTGCCCCGCTCTGTGCCTGGCCGAGCGCTGATCCATCTGATCACATCTCCTTCCCTAACGGAGGGTGGAGTGCTGGGGACGGGTCTGCCTGGCAGCAGCTCTTCCCTCAGGGAACAATAACCCCCGTTTCTCTCCGCAGGGTTCTACCAGCTGTGCCTGGACAACCAGCAAAACCACTTTGGCTTCATGCAGGTTTATCTCAACTTTGGTGTCTACTATGAAGGCTTCAACATGGAACAGAAGCAGCCAGAAGAGAGTAAAGAGCTGAACAGCACCTTGGAGGCCATCGAGGTGAGTGTCAAGGTGACCACAGGGTGACCCAACGCAGCAGGGACGGGCAGGTCCCCTCAAGGGAACACAGAAGGGAATTTGCCATCGGCTGAGCTGCAGCTGAACGTGGTGCTGAATTTGCCATCGGCTGGGCTGCAGCTGAACGTGGTGCTGAGCCCAGGGAGCAGCTCAGAGAGCGGCTGTGCCAGCCCCAGGCTCTGCCACGGCCCCACGGCCCCACGGCCGCCTCTCCCGCAGGTCAGCATCCGCAAGCTGCAGATCCACATCTTCCACATGTGGCGGTTCTACAACTTCGCCCGGATGCGGAAAGGGGCCGACTCCTTCCTGCTGGAATCCAACTACAACTACGTCAACTGGTGGTCGATGGCCCAGAGCTGCGTCATCGTCCTCTCGGGGGTCCTGCAGCTCTACTTCCTGAAGCGCCTGTTCAGCGTGCAGCCCCCCGGCAGGCAGCGGTGCTAGTGGTGCCCGAGCTGCGGCTCTGCCCCTGCGCAGAGCAGGAGGGACGGACAGATCCTGCCTGGGGGAGGAGGAGGAAGGAGAGTTTTCCCTGCTCCTGCCTCCAGCTCTGGCCCTGCTGCGGCTGCAATTCCCTCGCCAGAAGAGCGTGATGTGATCACCCGAGTGAGCTTCGTGTGCTGGGGGGGTTTGTTCCACCCCTGCCCCTTGTCACCGTGGCCCAAGGTGCCTTTTCTACCAGACACCCA